ACTGAGGCAAAGGGGTGGGAAATTCTGACTGAAATGAGAAGGAAGGGGGCGTACGGCTCTGCTTTCAGGTCAGCCTACGACTACGGCCCTGCCGGTAGGCAGATGGCGCCCCTTCGGTGACAGCCGAGGGAGCGGAAAGATCGCCGGTCTCCGTGCCACCGTCTGGCTCTTTGGTCTATAACCCCAGAACTCAGATCTCTGAGGTGCAAAAGTCAAGGTCACGATGTAAGACTTTCTGGCCGTTGTGAATTGTAAAGGACCGGCACGCCCCTGAAGCAGGCTGACGGGGGCCTCCGGGGCAGGCACTCGGCTGTGGTGACCTCCTCTCAAACGCCAGGCCTGGAGTTGCCAAAGCTCCGCGTGGCGCTTGGCTACTCGGGAATCCCGATGCCCAGTGGGCACTTACCCGCAGCCAGTGGAGTGGGAGCAAACTGGAAGAGCAGGACTCCAGAGTGGACGTGCAGGCTGCCGGGAAGATGAAAGAACAGCCGGTTCTGGGTCCCTCCAGAAGTCCGGCGCCATCCCCCATCTAGGGACAAAACAGTCAATCAGTCGTGCCCCATCCCTTCTTTGGTTGAACCCACTTAACCCTCCTCCAGTTTCTTCAATCCGAGGATGATTTCACCCTTTGTGAGCAACAAAAGGACCCCAGAGGGGAGCCTAAACAGGACCTGGGAGGGTCTGCCCTGTCCTCAAGCCACTCTCCTCTCAATATTCTCTGCTTTGCCCTCCTCAGGCGACACCTCTGTCCCAAGTGCTGAGGCGGTTCTCCCTTTCCCGGGTCTTTGGACAGCTGTTCTAGGTGGTCCCCTTCAGGGCTAGAAGGGCACGGCCCTGAAGTCAGCCTGATGATGGCGCCACCGAGGCCAACTTCCTTCCTCTGCGGGGGCTACAGGCCTTGGCAATCTGTTGGCATGGGGGACACAGTTTCTGCTCCCAGGTGGGTCACAGACGGGAGAGACATTCTCTGGGGAGGAGTGGGCCGCAGACAGAGGAGAGCCAAGAACAGCCACAAACGCCACGAGACCAAAGTATCCATCACTGGCCCTCAAGACTGCTTCATAATCCTGCGCTGTAGTTTCCTCCCCTTGTGGTAGTTCAGCTCACTTCCGGGGAAGGAGGCTCACGAACCCTCCTACCCGTCCACCAGACCCCATTCACTTGACTCCTAGTCACTGTACTAGACATGCCAATGATATGGCCCCCCAAACGCCTGCCGATCACATTCTTCCCTTCCCGGGGTGTCTGTAAGACAGCGTTTGTAAGCTTAACACAAGGGTCTCAGGATAATAGCTTGTCTCGCCAAGACTCAGAGCCCCTGTTCCTCCACTAATATTTCCTACACGTGTGTGCTGTGCTGGGAGCAAAACCCTGATCAAAATCCAGTCCCTGCTCTCTAAGAGTTCACATCTAGATGGGGCTCCAGACATTTCTCCCCCATTCTCGGGGCTACTGGGGGTGGGGAGTGCCCACAGTATCTTTTCCCCACTCCTTGGCACATCCACATTGTCTACATCCCTCAAGGCCCCGCTGAAGTGCTGTCTGCTCCTTGCTGCTCTCATGACACAGCCACTTAGCAGTGGTGTCTCCGGCCTCTGAATGTTCACAGTAGACACCTGTATCTCTCTCATGATGTGTCACGTTGCTCTTGTATTACGTGTTTGGTATGCATAGTCGATCTTCTCTACAGACTCTGTTTTCTTGAGGGCAAAGATCATCTCACACATCTCTGGATCCTTCAGACCACGCCACACAATGCCAGGTACATAATACGTGGTCAAAAACTATTCGTACAATGTGGCTTCCTCATACAGATGCTCTTTGGATGAATGGAAACTTGTTTGTGAAGCCACTGGGATCCCAGATTTAATAAATAATACATTTTATCACTAGCTTAAAATTCCTTGTTGGGATTTTCCCAATGAATACAAAGTTAGAACTCAATGCAAGTAGCATACGATTCTTACGTATTCCTTGCAATTGTGTGTGTATCCATCTGGTCTTAGGTAAATGTTATATAAATATTATAATTCAATATTCTGCGGTTTCTGCATCATAGCATGTTAAGTGCTCACATCTTGCTTTTTTTGGTAATGTTTATTTATTTTTGAGAGAGACAGAGCATGAGCGGGGTAGAGGCAGAGAGAGAAGCAGACCCAGAATCCGAAGCAGGCTCCAGGCTCCAAGGTGTCAGCACAGAGCCCTTCGTGGGGCTCGAACCCATGAACCACTGCCAGCTCATGATCTGAGCCGAAGTCAGATGCTTAGCTGACTGAGCCACCCAGGCACCCTGGTGCTCACATCTTCTATGAATTATAAGGAAGAAAAAGTATTTTCAACACTGCGTGGTGTTGGGCTTTGCACGCTCCCTCCCTACCAAGTGGTAATGATAGAACTCAGACTATTCCTGAAGGAAGGAGATACACAGGTTGAGAGCATCCAGCCTTGGGTAAGAAGACTCAGGCTTCCCCATTGGAATCAGCCTATGAAACCATCCTGCCTAGGAGAATGGATTTACCCATCAAGAAAAATGACTCCAAAAATTAGGTAAAGGTCTCACGGTAGCTAAGGAATCTTCTTCTTCTTCTTCTTCTTTTTTTAATGTTTATTTATTCTTGACAGAGAGAGAGAGACAGAGCATGAGCGGGGGATGGGCAGAGAGAGAGGGAGACGCAGAATCTGAAGCGGGCTCCAGGCTCTGAGCTGTCAGCACAGAGCCCGACGGGGGGAGGGGGGCTCAAACTCACAGACCGAGAGGTCATGACCTGAGCCGAAGTCGGGCGCTCAACCGACTGAGCCACCCAGGCGCCCCGGAATGTTCTTTAAAGTATCGGAAATGATGGCTGGGACTTGGGACAACGCTTACTAGGTGCAGGCCTAGGGCTAAAAACTTACGTGCATTATCTCATTTAACCTTCAAACACTTGAGGTGACAGTATGATTACCCCTGGTTTTGCAACTGATGAAACCGAGGCTCAAGAGATGTGAAAACTTTGTCCAAACCCACACACCCGAGTTTCTCTGACTCCAGATCCTGAGCTGAGATTGTCGCTCAAAACCATCCAGCTCCCCGTGTCTGGCACGCGGGGCGCACTGTGGGGGTAATGATCCCATATTCTCTAGAAGAGACCATAAAGATCATCTGCTTCAACCTCGTCACTTTGCAATAGAGGAAAACGGGCTCAGAGAGAT